AGAGAGAGAGAGAGAGAGAGAGAGAGAGAGAGAGAGAGAGAGAGAGAGAGAGAGAGAGAGAGAGAGAGAGAGAGACGGAGAGACTCTCCAGTATGGCACATGTCGAACAAATTGTTGGCATCTTTCATTGTTCGATTCAACGGTTCATAACTTGCGGTGCTGCGTTATGTGATTTGCAATTGTATTGGGTCCAAACGCTGTACGAAAGAAGCGACCATGACGTGCTCGCCAATGATATTCCAATGTTACCATTCCACGAAACTGTCAGGCGACAAGACCGTTTATTATTACAAATCTATGTCGCCCGTCATAGGTCCTGTTGACGAGGTTGAGGGTTACTGAAACAAACACAAAATGGAGGACAGTCATTTTGTTGTCTGCGTCGAGGAGGATGGAGTCGTCAGACTCACGACAGAGACTTACATTCGTTACCACGGCATTGAACACGTTCGGTGCTGATGTCGAAGCCGACAACGTATTTCAGCAGCCTTCTTCTCAAGTCGGCCGAATGAGGTCTAATGTATGATATCGTTTATCCCCTTGTGTATCGCATACTGTACACGCACTATGGCACGGTTGATCGGGACGGTTTTTGGCGCCTTCTCGTGTCTGCGCCCTATTTTCAGTCTAATGGCGAGGATTTTTCTGCCATGTTCTATCCTTGCAGCGGGATCCGGCGCTCACGAGCAGGCGTTTTGTTTGCTATGTTCCTTCCTTGTTGCAAGGACGAGTAATGTTAATCAATAATTGTACAGCGGTGGGAAATATGTATATAAATGCAATGGTTGTCTCCCATTAGTGTTTTTCTTTGCTGTGCGTGGTATGGAGGTACAGTTATGTGGATGGTGATCGCTGCACGTAATGTTATGTTTTGTTTATTTCTCGAAAATACACATAACCGACATAACAATCTTCACCATTTTGCCTGATATTTATCGTCGACAACGAGCGGCAGACGTGCGGGGTGAAGCACTTGTGTTTGGAAATGGCACAGATATTAATCGATTCAGTAACGAGGAGTTGACATTCAATTACTCATCGAAACAATGTATTCATCGATCGATCTTTCAGTTCACGGGTTTGTGCATAAATCAAGCTGTGAGTCCAATATTGCAATGAACGATTCAATCATTCAGTCAATCGATCAATCCTCTGCTTCAGTCTTACTGCCACTCAATATTCATGTCAATCAGTCAATGATTCCAAATGTCAAACCCGCCCCCTGTCCACGATGTTGTCATGCAATCAATCGTTCGGTAACTCAATTTACTACTCGTTCATACCTTCAAACTAGTTGTTCAGAACGCAATATATCGATCAATCATTCATTGTGGCACGTGCTACGAGGTCTACTTGCGGTGTCGTGAATATTGGAGTTCATAGTGTACGCAAATGTCGAATGAGAAACTACCGAGCGACGTAAGACTCACTATTCAAGATGTGGTCAACAATCTCGAAATGACTACGAAACGCTTGCATGCAGCAAAGGAAGTCCTTCACAGCACAACTGCTGATTTACAAGCTATGCGACAAGAGATTAACTTGCACGAACAACGCCTGCATGCCAAGGAAAATGAACTTTGACATTGCACAACCCAAGGTGCTAATGCAAAGCGGGCATGTGCAGATGGTTCTCATACGAAGAAACCTATGTCAGGCACAGAGAATGTGAGGTGCAACAGTGAGGGTCGTTGCCCCGTATGTGGTCGCTATCCAACTGGGAGCACAACAAAGGCTTCCGCGTGTTGGGAAACCCTATTTAAGAGGAATGTTTTATCGGTCGGCACATCAAACCGATCAGTCACATAAAAAAGGGCATTGTCATTTACAAACATATGATGTGGCCTTTGGGATTGGAAAAATGTGCAATATATGTGGGGTTCGTTTCTTGACAAAATGCTATGACCCAACCGCCCAAATACCCAACCATCCAACTAACCAACCAACGTGCACTGTTCGTTACTATTATTATTAATTTTCACAGCCACCCTAATTCACTCGTTGTGTCCATCGCTTATCGTACGCATTGTGTTGCTGTCATCTCTCTGGTGCCATTGCCCAACCATTGGGACAGACAGTAGGCATGGTCGCTCGAGACAGCGTGCGGTGCCTTGTCGTATCAGCGCCCTATTTTGTGTCGCATAGCCATGATTGATCTGCCATGTTTTATCCTTGTTGTCCAATTCCACGCTGAAAACCAATCGTTTTTTTCGCTACGTTCAGTCCAATATTGCGATGACGAATGATGGTTCCAATGACAGTACATCAGTGAAAAATATATACATATGCAAGCGTCATACCCCATGCGTGACAGTTTATTGTTTTCATATTTCTGCTGAATTGTGCATTTTTTTTTTTATGTGTGTGGTGTGGAGGTACACTTCTAAAGCAATTGATGCACGTGATGTTCTGTTTTGTAGATATATAAAAAATCAACGAAACCGACATAATAATCTTCACCCTTTCCCATATATGGACCGTCGACGACGCATGGCAGGCATGCGACCTCAAGCAGTCGTATATGGAAATGACATGGATACTGATCCATTTCGCGAGGAGGAGTTGACAGTCGCCGAGATTAGGAGTCGGTGGCCAGGGCCCGCAACGCTTCTGGAAGAGACTGTGGTTTTTGCTGGCCTGGAGGACCATCTGCAACGATACATAAATTCGCTTATTGGTTGTGCAAATCTCGAACCAAAGCAAAATCGTTACAATGGATATGTGTTTTTTTCTCGGCTTTGTGGGTTCGTCGTTTTCAGACAGAGATTGTCAGATAAGTTCCAGACGACAATGCAGGAACGATGGCCGGATTCAGTCATTCGAGGTTTTGAACTACGGCAATGCGATCCTCCCGAAAACGCGCGGCTACGTCGACGTGCACGGTGGTAAATGCTTCAGGCATTCCAATGTCTTCGTCATCATTGCAGTTACGAGGAAAGGATGTGTGTGAGTACGGGTTTCCCAGGTCAGTGAGTATGCATGTGTGTCAGTACGTGTGTCAGTCCCTGTCTCCGTAAAAGAGAGGAGAGAGAGAGAGAGAGAGAGAGAGAGAGAGAGAGAGAGAGAGAGAGAGAGAGAGAGAAATAGTGTATGTGTGTGTGTGTGTGTGTGTGTGTGTGTGTGTGNTGTGTGTGTGTGTGTGTGTGTGTGTGTGAGAGAGAGAGAGAGAGAGAGAGAGAGAGAGAGAGAGAGAGAGAGAGAGAGAGAGAGAGAGAGAGCGTATTACTTAGGCGTACATAATATACCGGTTGTGATACTTTGCAACAGTTCGAGGCCTATGTTACTTAGGCGATAATAATATACCCGTTAAGATACTTTGCGATAGTTCGAGGCCTATGTTGTCGAGGTTCCACAACTCTCTATCTCTCTGTCTCTCTCTCTGTCTCTCTGTCTCTCTCTCTCTCTCTCTCTCTCTCTCTCTCTCTCTCTCTCTCTCTCTTTCTCTCTTCTACTTATAATCCTCGGTATCTCCTCTGAAGTTCATTTATTTCATTTTGGAATTGCATGACATTTTATTATTGGATGCATGTGTAACTCGACATTGGTCTGATATATTTTTAGGTACAAGGGAAAAAAAAAAAAAAAAAAAAAACCCTAAACGAACGCATAACAAAAATAAGACCCTGAGATGTGTGCAAAATAAGATACCATGATATATATATATATATATATATATATGCTGGTTATTTATATATATATATATATATATATATAACCAGCATAAGAAATAAGACACCATGAGATGTGTGAAAACCGCGCAAAATGTGCAAACATTATCGAATCCGCAGAAGAAAGGCAGGCGAATGACAAAGGCAATGAATGTCTAACGCTCTACAACCTTATGTCGACACCATCTGTTACCATAAACACGTCCAACTCAAAAGCCAACAAATGTGAAAGTCGCWTGTACAAGAGACTASGACATAARACAATGTCAATCGTCGAACAACTCGACATCCTCTGTGTCAGAGAGTGAATCGCACGATCGCTCGGAWACGGTGTCGAGCGCATCGGCCCTCGCGCGAAAACGAGGGCCCTCCCCGCCATGTCACGYAGGAGTTTACCTAAAATATAACTTCAAGAGACAACTTAGGAACGACGCATAACATTTCCTYGAACCGCYSAGACGGACGAGGTCGCATCGCTCCTTCGCCRCTCTAGCCTGGTGCGCCAGCTGTACATCTCGTGGTCCCCTACGACAGGACARGTTTCCGCGGGKCATAAAGCTCGCATCCSTAAGGGGCTGTCACCACCCTTAGAGGTGTATCCCTACCGAGCTACTGACCCACGTGCGAAAGCTTTTAGATGCAATTGCAKAGGTAGGTCAGCTGAGGGSGTYTGCTCGTTCKCCGTAGTATAGATACGYTTGGTTAATGCCAAGTGGACCCGAACGYCATTCATTCCTAGGGCGCTGATSTCCTRAGTACGAAGCGAACGYCGGTCGACTAGGACGGTCTCAACCAAGCGTGAAACCCTCAACTTAATCCTAGTCCCTTAGACATGAAGTCAAATGAAAGTTAAAACATCTACAGATTGTTATATCAAAAGAAATCGATCATACTCGGCAGGAATATACTTAATCTGAAATGATAACTGAAAAAATTTAATATATCAAATCACAAAAATAAAACAATCCGACCATCTCAGGTCGAACTCCACAAAACAATCATACAACTGCCAACGAAGGGTTGTTTTTCCGACAATAACATAGATGCCGCCGACAAGGTAATCGACTGCCTTAGTTTTGACTTGATGAGACGTGTTGCCAAAGTCATTCATTCCACCTACCACTGACCTAAGATCATACACGCTCACACTTGTCTCCATACTTTCTCAATCTTAATGGACAACATAGTACTTTGCGAATGTTTTTTTATCAGGGGCATTGCTTGAAGCGTTGCATTTCTCTCCCTCTAGGAAGTGGTCTGGGGTACTCCTCCTCCTCGTCCGAGCACAAGACTCGGATCTCAGAAGTCGAGCCATCTCCACCGAATCGGCAAGTACCCCCCTGTAGAACGGTCCACTCTGGGTCGATAACAGGGTCGGCTCCTGACGCAACGAACCCCCGCCCCAGATGCTTCCTAGAGATAGTGGATGCGTCCACCACAAGTAACTTCCATATATTTTTTTATTTCTCCTAAGTCCTACGGATAACTTAGACAAAAAGCAATCAGAAGAGGTAAAGAATGAGAATTATTTGGACAAGTATATGTACATAGGATTGTTCGGGATAAAATGCGTAATTCTTGGAAAAAACCCAAGTTCGTTTGACCTTATCTGCTTTCTTTCAATCATATTTATTTATGACATGCATTGAATTGACCTTTTTCAGAACAACAAGTCCTTATTGACATCCAGGTAGGTAAGAAGTAAAGGGAAGACAATCATTTTCCCTTTCTCAAATAGGCATAATTAATCTTCTTTGCAAGCATCCTTCTACCTACCTGCACGGATCGCAAAGCAAAACAGACAGGTTCAAAGGAAACCAACGCAATTCCATATCCAAGTCAGACCTCACCATTCACATGCGAACACACATTTCCTTTACTATTTTCAAAGAACATTCAATGAACAGGGTCAAGCAAGTGTGGGTTCACACAGGTGTGAAGAGAAATCAGAGTCGGTCAATTGACCTTGAGTGAAGTGCTGTCGAAGAAGTGCCCTGGCTCAGTCAAGAAAGTCAACCAACAAGCAGCGTGTGCCGCCGAAAGCTGTAGTCTCAAGGAAAATCGTGATCAAACCATCTCTCACTCGCACGCCTCATCAGCGGTAACCCAAGCGTGAAAACGACGAGTCGCATGCATCCCAGAAAAAACACTCAATCTGGTACCACGCCAGTCCCAACTGGTCCCAAGCAGTCCCAGATGGTCCCACATGGCTCTAGGTGGTCCCATGTTGTCAAACACTTCGTCGAATGACTATTGAGTCGAAAAGCGTTTCTGTCACACTTCTAAAAAAAATAAAACCGGTGTCGAATCTCAAAACCGCATGCATCAAGACTGCCGCAAATGACGCCCCGCGTCCCACGTCAGTCCCGACTGAATCCAGGCAGCCCCAAGTAGTCCAGTCTCACTGCCGCAAGTGTTGGGTAGTCCCAACTACAAAATATTTATCTCATGTGCCGCATAAAAAAAATTAAACCCGCTTGTCGCGCTCAGATTTCGTACCGTCGCATGCCATCAACCGCCACCATGTCACGGTGCTGCTGCTGTACAGACCAATGGTAGCAGACCTTCACCAAGAAAAGCAGACGTCACCCCGGAACAAAAAATCTTTCAAAGCCGTAAAAAAAAATCCACTGCCGCGCCGCAAGTCCCATCGTCGTGCCGTAGTTCCACTGCCATGCCGAACTCTCGTCAGAAAATGGCAGCACGTCATCGCACCTAGCCCCGTAGAAAAAAAGAAAACGGCAGCGCTCCGCCGTGCCATACCATCGTAAAAAGACGGCGGCGCTTCGCCGTGTTGTACCACCGTAAAAAAACGGCAGCGCTTCGCCGTGTCGTACCACCACAAAAAGATGGCGGCGCTTCGCTGTGTTGTACCACCGTAAAAAAAACGGCAGCGCTTCGCTGTGTTGTACCACCGCAAAAAAAACGGCAGCGCTTCGCCGTGCCGTACCACCGCAAAAAAATGGCAGCGCTCCCGCACCACCGTCGAAAAAACCAGAACCGCCACCGCAAAAATTCGGCAGCGCTTCCGCACCACAGTCGAAAACAACAGAACCGCCGCCGCAAAAATCCGGCAGCGCTTCCGCACCACCGTCGAAAAAGACCTGCGTCGCCGCCGCAAAAGTTCGGCAGCACTTCCGTACCACCGCCGTAAAAGCCTGTGCCGCCGCCGTAGAATTTCGGCAGCACTTTCGTACCGCTGCCGTAAAAACCCGTGCTGCCGCCGCAGAATTTCGGCAGCACTTCCGTACCGCTGCCGTAAAAAAACAGCAGGCCAAATTTAGTAAAATTTGGGCCCTAGGCCCAAATTGCACTGTGCCGTACTGCCGTAGTCACGCAGCGCCATTGGGTCTGTCCTGTGGGACCAGCACCAGCCAGAGAGGAGGGGAGCAGAGTGCTCCCTGCCTTGGCTATGGCTGCCCAATTCTTCTCCTTACGCTCCTCTGCAGACCTCTAGCCCTCCTCACGTTGCCTCAAGCAGCAGCTCCAGCAGCCAGCAGCACTCTTGTGTGCTCGTCACACGCTGGCATCACTAGTGCATTGTGTGGCAGCTGGGGGCAGCTGCCTGTTTTATATTGTCTGAGGAGGGCTGGACGTCACTCCCGCCCCCAGGCAAAATCGCGGGCTCACTGTGAGCCCTTGATCTGCCAAGATCCACGGTTGACTGTGGCTGCACCACAGCCACAGCCTTAGTGTGGGGCAATTTTTTTAACTGTCCCATTTTATTTTTCCTTTTCTTTTTCCCAACTATCTCGGAATCTCACGAAATAGCTGGGCTCCTGCCATTTGCAAAACCATTTTTCTTTTATTTTTCTGATAAAGGGTTGGAAAGATACAACCCCTTACAGTTTGATGTATCTGGACCCTTTTCCCAGGGCAGATACATCATGGAAAAGGCTGTACCTAGCCTTTTCCTTAGTGGCCCTTCAATTTTCAGGCTCCCTTTAAAAACAGGAGCCTGACAGTTACCTCTAGCAGCTTGTACCAAAGGTGACACCACGTGAGGACAAGTGTCCCCACAAAAAAACAAAGAAAAGAAAAAGAAAAAAAGAAGAAATAAAGAAAAAAACCCAACCCCCTCAACCAGCACAGTTCGTAACCTGTAGAACGCAACAGAATGAGCTAGTGACCAACACCGTTCGAGCGAACGAGCTAACAACCAGCACAGTTCGTAACCTGCAGAACGCAACAGAATGAGCTAGTAACCAACRCCGTTCGAGCGAACGAGCTAAATACCAGCACAATTCGTAACCTSCAGAACGCAACAGAATGAGCTAGTAACCAACAYSGTTCGAGCGAACGATCTAACAACCAGCACARTTYGTARCCTGYWGAAYGCAACAGAATGAGCWAGTAACCAACASCGTTCSAGCGAACGAGCTAACAACCASCAYAGTTCGTAACCTGCAGAACGCARCAGAATGAACCAGTGACCAGCGGAACAAGAGAACAAGCTAGTAACTAGTTCARCCACATTGCTAAAGAACTAGCTCGAAATGTAAGAGAACAAACTAGTAATCAATACGAAAGAAGAAACTCGTAACTAGCGAAAAGCACGAGAAAGAGTTGATAAGTAGCAAGGTTTTCGACCCGCGATTGTGAAAGAACAGGCTCGTAACCAGCGAGAAGCAAAGAGAGAACTCGTAATGAAAACAGCCTTGCAACCTGCGAACTACAAGAGGACGAACTTATATCCAGCGTGGCCGTAGCCCGCGCTATCGAGGAAAAGTGACCTAGTGACCAGCGACTTGAAATTACCCTCACCGAATCGCGAGGACGGTCCACAGCATCTCGCAAGCCCGACTCGTAACTCTAGCTCCCGTCAGAAGCGAACAGGGCGACCTCCTTCTTTCTCTCTCTCTTTATCTGTCCCTTTCTCTCTCTCTCTTTCTCTCTCTCTCTCTCTCTCTCTCTCTCTCTCTCTCTCTCTCTCTCTCTCTCTCTCTCTCTCTCTCTCTCTCTCTCNCTCTCTCTCTCTCTCTCTCTCTCTCTCTCTCTCTCTCTCTCTCTCTCTCTCTCTCTCTCTCTCTCTCTCTCTCTCTCTCTCTCTCTCTGTGCGAAAGCTTCAGCGCGCTCTCTCTGCGCGCTGCCTCTGCGGAAAACGGGACGTCGTCCCCCGGGAACCCCCGTATGCAGCCAGCTGCTTCTGTGTACACTCCGCGTTAA